TGACAGAGCCGCTCTCAGCAGTGTCAGGTAAAAGCAGTAAAAGCCGTAAGTTGAAACCTGGGAAGTTCAGGCCGAATGTTAGGAAAAATTTTATCGCTCAGTGGAGATGCAGCCATCAGAGAAGGTTAGAAGGTGGTGAATCTCTGCTCTTTGAGGTTTTCAGTACTCAGCTAGACAAAGCCCTGGCTGAGCAGATCTAGAGTTGGCATTGGTCTGTCTTTGAGAGGTAGGTCAGATAAGACACTCGAAAGGTCCCTTCCAACCAAAATTTGTGATATTGGCAGCATAGCAGAGCCGTGACGTGTGCATCTTCCCTTGTCTTTCCTCTTGCTGGTATGGCCAGGAAACACAGGATGATGTATGCGAATTCACTGCAGCTCCCTGTGGTGAGAGAGACTCAACTTGCTTCTTACCTTTACAGCCATACTTGCCATTTTGCTACAAGGGTCCGAAGGAACAGCAGCTCTTTGTCGAGATCTACATCAGGAACATGGCAGAGGAAATTGAGCTCCTTATGACAGACATACCCAATGACACCGTGGTCTGGAAGGCATCACTGAGATCAGGTAGGGACAGCAGGTCCATCTAGGGGCTCATTCGCCTTAGCAAAAGCAGAGGTGCACCACCCAAGCAGACCTCACGCATTTCGTGGTCACAGTCGTCTATGCATCCTGCAGGGAAAGCAAACTGCGTATGCAGCAATTGGCCACTGAAGAATAGGGACCTGATAGGACACCCCAATGTCAGTAGACCAGAGCTTCAGATTTAACGTGGAGTTTCAGATGTTGGGGTTTAAGAGAGCACAACAGCACTATCGGCGTCTCTCTGTTCTCTTGGCTACTGTTTGCGCAGAAATCTCACTTATTTTTAAAAGTCCATTAATGTAGCAAACACCCACAGACGTGCTAGTGCAACCACTGTGTGATGCAGAGGAGGTAAGGGGAATACCAAAATTTAAGTGAAAATCAACGTCTTAAAAAAATACATGTTCCAGCCAGCAATACTCTTCTAGATTTGCTGGGTGTGACATCAGTGTGTGAAACACCCAGAGCGCACAGGATCGGGGCAAGGCCTGATGGACCAGAGTCTGCCTTCCCACGCATCTCTGCTCACAGCGGCATGATGAACAGGGCATGCAGCAAGCCTGCTGATGGTGTGGGGACTGCTCTCTTGTGGCATCAAGAGACCATTGCTTATAACTATCCTGCTTTAGGGCTGACTGTACTGACTTGGCTCCCATGCAGAACTTCGGTCAGGAGAGCAGATGATGGAGGCAGAAGGAGCAGGGTTAGTGGTGGCAGGTGCCAAGACTCGTGTTCTTGTGTCTTCTGGGAGGACAGAGGTGCACCCAGCTCCAGAGCAGCATGTTCCTAATCTCCATGCCCCTCTGCCCAGCTGCTGCCACATTGGCTTAGCAGCCACCGCACGTGCCATTAACTTCACGTAGCAACACATGCCCATGGGGTCCCCTGTGGGAAAGATTGGCAGAGGAGCTGCGGGCAGCAGCAGCTCACAGGCGCAGGGTATGGTACTGCTCGGCATGCCCTGAGACCCTTTCTCTGTTAGTCTAATCCAGCACCCCCTAAAATTAACACCTACAACCATGCAGAGCCCAGGACCTTTTATTGAGTTCTCTACAGATGGGCAGGAACAGTAGGAGGAATGGCTAATGGCTTTCTGGAGGATTAGGCTCCTCAGGAAGGTGTCGTGGAAGATTAGGCACCATCATTTCAGTGATGGCATATTCAGTGATCTCTCTTCTTTCTCTTTCAGGTGATATTACTCTTCCTGCTCATGTCTCCAAGATCTTGTCAGGTCAGTAGAGTGTTTCAGAGCTGCATTTCTAGAGTCTGAATCTGTTTCTTTGGAGCTGACCATCGTCTGGTTTAAAGCAGATATCAGCCTCTTTTCCCATCCCTATGATAGTTTCTAGACAAAAAGCCTTGAAAGCTGGCAACCTCAAACTTTTCTTCCCACTTTGCTGGCAGTATGCTCTGTGCCATGCTGGTGGGTAAAGTGGCATAGTGCAGGTGACCCTCCAAACTGGTTTCCCTTCTTTGGGGACAGACATGCTGTTGTTACAGAGAATGAGCTGCAGCTAGTACAGTTCATGGTGGTACAGCTGCTGCATCCCATACAGCCAGCTCAGGGGCTGACGGCCCCTGTGCCAAACGGGAGCATTTTCCATGGGAGTGATGCCCCTGGGAAGGAGCCTGCAACCAGGCGTTGGCAGAGGGGACGGCAGGGCCACCTTTACAGCAGCTCCAGGAGTTTCTAACCAAGGGGCTTTGCTTTCCACTTGCTTCAAATACAGTAACAACAAATATGCTGCCCAGCAGTTTTGCAGGTATTATCCCAGCCTAATTTCTCCAGGGCCACAACACTTCATCATTACCTCTTGCATCTCATTTTACTAATGAAAGGCCAGATCCAAGAGGACACCCAGGAAGCTAAGCCACAGGTTGAGGCAGATAGGCCTGGCTCGGATAGACACAAATTTGGACATTTCAGCATTATTCTTTTTCCTTGCCATGCACATGGAGTCACCACACTGGCCAACAACCTGCGTGAGAGCACCAGGAGAGTAGGGTGGCAGAAAACAGCAAGGACAGGACAACGGGCAATGGTTTTAAACAATAAGAGGGCAGGTTTAGATTGGACATAAGGAAGAAATTTTTTACACTGAGGGTGGTGAGACACTGGAACAAGTTGCCCAGAGACGTTGTGGATGCCCCATCATTGGAAGTGTTCAAAGTCAGGCTGGATGGGGCTTTGAGCAACCTGATCTGGTGAAAGATGTCCCTGCCCATGGCAGGGGAGTTGGACTAGGTGATCTTTAAAGGTCCCTTCCAATCCAAACCATCCTGTGATTCTACAGGGAGATGCCCGTTTGGGTGCTCACTTCAGCCTCACGTAGGAGGACTGGGTGGAGGCTTGGGAGGAGAAGCCAGGCAGCACTGCCCACTGCACTGACCCGCAGCTTGCTAAGCACCCCACTGGCGTCAGCTGCCTTTCCAGGCTCTGTTTGTAAAACTGCTTGCAATCCTGCAAGATTTCAGAGCTTTGAGCAACCTGTGCTCTGAGTTAGGAGCTCCTCACCTTGCAGGGCAGGGGGCAGGATGGTAACTTCACACCCAGACACTATGGGAATCCCAGAGGGGACAGTTGCCAGCAGCTGATGGGGGCTGCCACCGACCTCATCTCCCCCAGCTCTGACCTCACGTTCCCTGCCTTATTCCTTGCCCTGCCTCCAGTGCTCCTACCGCTGGTGCAGCAGGTGCCCATCCTTTTTGTTGGAGGGATGGAGACACGTGGCTGTGGGACAGGGTGCACAGCCATAGTGTCCGCTGGCTTAGGATGCCACGTACAACATGGCACTCACCTGCAGCTGCCTGGCCAGGTGCAGCGCAGTAACATGGGCTTGGTGTCTGCTAGGCGCAGCCTTCATGAAGAAGCACAAGACCGAGCTTTGCTCCAGGATCAGGCAGCTCTCCACCATTCTGCTGCACTTACGGGATGCAAACATCATCAACAGCGATGAAGAAGAGGAGGTGCAATGTCAAGGTACGAATAAAAAGAGGAACCGAGTTTTGCTGGAGCTAGCTGAGAAGAAAGGGCTGAAGGCCCAGGAGCAGCTTTACCACATCCTCCAAATGAAAGACCCATTCCTCATAGCAGACCTGGAGAAGCACACCTAGGCCTGGGAAAGCAGACCGCTTTTGCTCCCGTTGCTCAGCTTATGGGAGCAACAGAAGGACAGTCAGCTTTACCAGCACCTGAATCCTGACCTTTCAATGCAAAATCCATGGTGCAAAGCAGCAATAAGCCTTCTGAACCACCCAGTCTCAGGCCTGCTTTGCTTGGCTGACTCAGTTGCCAGCAGTGGATGACCAGTGTCACGCCAGCCACTGGTGAGAAGCTGCTGGAACAAGAGACCTTGGTTCCCAATCCAGTGCCAATACCTCAGACCTGTCTGCTTCCCTGAGACAGCCTCTCCAGAAGCTCCAGGCAGCTGCTAGCAGAGGAATTCCCATCACAACAGATATCTCCAGCTCAGCCTCCCTGTCCTCAGTGTCCATGGGCACGGCTGGAAGAGGGGAGCTGCTTTACCACACAGAGCTGTCTGCAAAGGCTTGTTCTCATGCACAAGCCACAGCAAGCCATAGATGTTGTTGTGAACCCGTATCAACATCAAACCTTCCCCTTGTTTCCCTCCAGCCTAGTTTACCCAAATGACCAAAATTCACTAAAGGAGCAAACAAGCATCCTGACCCCAGCAGCAGCTGGGTGAAGGAGCCCCTCCCAAAGAAGCCATGAAAAATAGCAAAGATAAGAGATACAGATTCATGCATCTTCAGGGAAAGTCTGACTCAATAGCAGCTGCTTTATGTTCAAAAGAAAGGCAGCAGATTATTTTTAAATCACATCCTTCGCATCCATAAAGTCAGTTCATTTCTGGATCATGGTGGATGCCTTCACTGATGGCATCCTCCTGCTGTTGAACACACCAGTCAGGGCAGGTGCCGTCTGCTCTGGTGTCCAGTATCCAAGAAGAGATTTTTTGGGTCAAGCTCAGGTGAAATTCAGACTTGCCTAAGTGGAGACAGCAACTTCTGGAGGCTCAAAGGAGCTTCCAGGGAGTGTTGAGTGAAATGGTCCCCACCGCACGTTCTTTGGCTTTGTGGGGTGGAAATGAGACTGCTGCCTTAAGTATTGCTTTATATTTATTCCTTCTCTTGAACACCTGGAGAGCACATCGCTGCTGAAACATGCTGTAAGAGTGTGTCTCTGCTCCGTTAAGGGTCGAGGACCTTCAATGAAACCAGGGGTGATATGAAAAGGAGGAAGCTGGGAACAAGACCATGCAGGGACACAGAACTGGCCACCAGATGACAAGGGAGGCAGTAAAGGGGACCAGACATCACCGCTCGCATTAATTCATGGGCTACCCAGAAACCACAATGGGGCTGGCCCTTCCAGGAGGATCAGCCTGGGCTTTGCAAATGCTGAGCGTGTGAACCAGAGGGACCTGGACATGGGCTGGGAGGGGAGTGAGAATGGACCTGTGGGGATGGGAAGGGGAACCAGGAAGAACAAAGCAGGGGGAGGCAGAAAGGGATATAAAAGGGGCCACTCAGGTATAACCAGGGCCAGTTTAGCTGAGCCTTATGCCTGGTCACCACAGTCTTTGCTATCTTTTTATATTTTCTTATGAAAAGTTTTCTTCAACATTTCTCTGCGTCATCTACTCTCTATCCCGTGTGAGTGTGTGCTGCAAGGACCAAGTGCCAGCTAGTGGTGAGGCCTGTGTGTGGGTCAGGGGATTTGGTGTCACCAACTAGAGTTGAGTGGCGTCCCAGTGCAGCTACTGGAGCGAGTGGGGGTCTTTAACCTCCAGCCGCAGGGTGGGAATGGCGTCCCCAAAACTAGCTACTGGGGAGGGACTGGTGTGAGGTGAATGAGGGGCTCTGTGCAGCTGGAGGTGGACTGTGAGCCACAGCTTGTGTGTCTGGTGGGGAGTGAGAGTATCCCCCCCCAAACCGGGTGTGCGGGGGGTGTGCCTGTGCATTCGCCAGCAAAATTCAAGCTGGACCAGCCGGTGACTCAAGGACGCATGGGGTGGGGCTGAGGGCTGGGGTCCCGGCGGCGGGGCTGGGCAGACAGAGGGGCCACGCCAGTGCTCGGGGGACCCACGAGTGTGCGTGTGCCTGCACTAGTGACCTCCCACCTCTGCCACCCCAGAGGAGGAGGGGCCGGGGCTGGTGTGTGATGTGGGTCCTGTGTGCGGGTGCTGATGACGGCAGCGCCTTGCATGTGGCCGTCCGTGTGTCCTGTGTCTGTCTGTCCATGCGTGTGTCCCTGGGACATCTGCTCAGCTTCGCTGCTGGTTGAATCCACAAAGGGGAAAGCGGCAGCCGCAGCCCCC